CCTTCCTTCCTTCCTTCCTTCCTTCCTTCCTTCCTTCCTTCCTTCCTCGATGGTGTGCAGTGGTTAGAATGCAGTATTGCAGACTGCCCACTGCCAGGAGTCCAAAACTGACCGGTCAAAGTTGACTCAATCTTCCATCCTTCCAAGGTCAATAAAACGAGGACATGTCAAACCTCCTTTGCTACCTGGCTTATTTTAGTTCTGGCATTTGAAATAGACTTCCAGTGGACCTGGGAGCTCCAAAAAACCATTAATAGAATTTACCCAGGGATATAGACTTCTTAGTTGGTCAAGCTGTCCTAAGCTCAGGATTGTGACTAGTCAGCGAGTAGCAATAGGAAAACTTTCATCAGTAAGGTGAAACACAACATACAGATGATATGATTTAGCAGAGGATGGTGCCAAATTGGGCTCTTTTCCCAATTTTCTCCTTTTGATCCGCTATTTCAGTGTTTCTCCACCTTAGCAACCTTTAAGGTGGGTGGACTTCTACTCCCAGAATTCCCCAGCCAGCATTGGGAATTCTGGAAGTTGAAGTCCACCCATCTTAAAATTTCCAAGTTTGAGAAACACAGCTCTACTTGGAGGGGAGATGTTTTATACCTCTGCATCTTGTGAGGCCACCTCCTTCTTTTTGGCGAGACATTTGAAGGAATAAATAGCAGTGGGAAGGGTCATTGTGACTCCCAGAAAATCAGCTGAATTTGTGGCTCTACCCAGTGATGGAGGGGTAGGCTAACCATCTTTTGGCCATGTGCCCGTTTCTGAATTTTCCGTTTCTGTTTCTCTGCAGAGCCTCCCGGGAACATCCTTCCGTTCAGGAGAAGAAAAAATCCACCATTTGGCAGTTGTAAGTAGCGGAGTTTATTTGTGAGATGTCAGCAAGGAGATGTGGTTGTATAGGATATTCTTGCAGTATAGTATAGTATCCAAAGTATGTGGCATTTATGATCTCTAAAGGCAGACTTTATTTGCAAATGGCCCCCTGAATAGCATTGGAGAGAGGCCTCAGGCTTTACCCACATAAGGAGGATTCAAACAACCTTTATGTAGGAATATAATAAAAACTGATCAGAAATGATGTCACGTGCAAATCATCTTATCTTATTGATAACATGGGTTAGGCTTTCTGCTTATTGTGAGAATACGCAGTTAATAAGCCAAAGATTCACACAGGTCAATTTTCGTGGCTGGTTATTTCCTAGCCTACATTTAAAATACACGTGCTAATTTAAGACAGGATCTAAGCAAACAAGTAGGGAAGCGTTCTTGAAGTGCCTCAAAGAAGACCTACACTGCCCAAGGCCTGTTTTGAAAAAGGAAATATGTCAGATTTGGAATTCATAACACCTTGTCTTTATTCTGTCTGCATTCTCTCTAACCTCCCCAGCTTCAGCCGATTGTTCAGTTCCTCCTCCAGCCCTCCCCCAGCGAAAAGGAGCTACCCATCAGTGAATATCCACTACAAATCTCCCACAGCAGCTGGGTTAAGCCAGCGTCGCAGCCATACCTTGTGTCAAATCTCTGCCGGGAACCGAACTCTTGAGTTTTTCCCAGATGAGTAAGTTTGGCTCCGCTTTTCTTTTTCAGAAACTGGAAGGGCTACTTAGCAGTGGGTGCTTTTGTAGAAGAGCTAATTTATGGTAGCCAAAAAAAAAATCAGGAGGAGTCCGATACTGTATTTCTCCAAAGATAAGACTGGGTCTTCTATTAATTTTTGCATTAGGTCTTATTTTCTGGTTAGGTCTTATTTTGGGGGGAAAATACGATACTAAATGCATCCATCCGGCTGACGGTCTTAACTGGGGCTTATATTTGGGGGTAGGGCTTATATTAAGAGCATCCTGAAAAATCATGCTAAGGCTTATTTTCCGGCTGAGTCTTGTTTTGGGGAAACAAAATTAACACCATTTATGACTAGCAATTAAAAAACAAGCTTTCACATAATTTATGAATGCTTACGTCTTTTAATCATATTTGTAAATTGGAAAAGATTCTTCTAAACTCCTGCTGATTTTGAGAATTCAAACTGACAGGATGTCAGCAGAGCTTGCCTGTTCCACAGTTGGCTGGAAGCCCATAGTTTGGTATTTTCATTTTGGTTATTGTATGCTATTAAACAAATAAATATCACCCTTCCTCCTGCTAGATTTAAATGCAGAACAGAACATTTAAAATGAGGAAAATAATTTTCTTTCTCTTACTAATATTGTATTTAGATGATGTGCACAGAGGAATAGGTTTGGAAAGAAGAGAGGAAATTTTCTCTAGTCCTAAATAATATGTATGAAAGGTATAAATGCTGGATTCCTGGGAGAAATATACAGAACGCTAAAATATCACCTGGTATGTTTAATTAAATAGCTTGGCCCATGACTACTGGTCAGTTTGCTGTGCAGTAAATTCTAGGGCAGGATTAAAGATTCAGGCCCTCACCCGGATATTTCTGTCTTGGAAGTCGCATCAACCCAATCTGTTGTTCATGCAGGTTGAAGGTGATAAGATCTGGTGTGCACCTGCCAGTTTTCCTCCCTGCTCTAAAACGTAACTGAATTTCTTTCCCACTGCATAAATTCTGAGTCCTCTTAATAGAAAGCAGCTTTTCATGTCCTCACTTCCTATTCCAAAGGCACTGATTACAGCTGGCCAAAAAAACCTTTATATTGCTTAAGACTCCACAGGTCACCCCTGTTTTGACACACCGTGGATTTTCCGCTCCTTAAAGTGTAACTCTTATTTCCTTAAAATTTAAGGAGCTTTCTTTGTTTCCACTCATGTCTCTGTATATGCAGGTAGTCCTCAACTTACGATGGTTGTTTAGTGACCCTTTGATGTTATAATGAACCTCTCTAAAAGTATTTGTGACCTGGTTCCGAAGTTGCAATGGCCACACACACCTCTGTGGTCACAGGATCCCATTGTGGGTGCTTACCAAACCAGCCCACATTTACAGCTGTTTTTTTTTTGTTTTTTTTTTTTATTTATTTATTTGATTTGCCAATTGTTTACAAGATAATAAGTATAAGAGTATACATAGTTGTGAATACATGAAATGGGTACATATATGAAAAATAAAAGAATAGGAGAAACAATAGGACAGGGACGGTAGGCACGTTGGTGCGCTTATGCACGCCCCCTACAGACCTCTTAGGAAAGGGGTGAGGTCAATAGTAGACAGTCTAAGGTTAAAGTTTTTGGGGTTTGGGGAAGAAACTACAGAGTCAGGTAGAGTATTCCAGACATTGACCACTCTATTGCTGAAGTCGTATTTCCTGCAATCAAGTTTGGTGCGGTTTACTTTGAGTTTGTATCTATTGTGTGCTCTTGTGTTGTTATGGTTGAAGCTGAAGTATTCACTGACAGGTAGGACATTGCAATGTATGATTTTATATACCATGCTTAAGTCAGACCGAAGACGGCGTAATTCAAGGTTTTCTAGTTCTAGAATTTCAAGTCTGGTGGCATAAGGTATTCTACAACGAGTAGAGGAGTGGAGAACTCTTCTTGTGAAATATTTCTGGACTTTCTCAATTGTGCTAATATCACATACGTAATAAGGATTCCAGACTGATGAACTGTATTCGAGTATTGGTCTAGCAAATGTTTTGTATGCTCTGGTTAGTAGTGTGATATTACCAGAGAAAAAGCTACGTAGGATTAGGTTAACAACTCTTAATGCCTTTTTGGCTATGTAGTTGCAGTGGGCTCTAGCACTTAGATCATTAGAGGTGAGTATTCCAAGGTCCTTTACAGAGCTTGGTCACATGACCATGATTTACAATGTTTTTTTCTGAAAGCCAGTGTTTACTTCCAATTTACAGCAAAAAGGCCCCGTTGTGAACAATAGCGTCATTTAAGATGGTGTCACAGCTCCGGCAGTTACCCCCATTTAAATCGTGAATCTCTAGCCGAACTTCCAAAACTTAAAGAAGATTTATTAGGAGCAAACATGCCGGTGCTGCCTGGGTGTAGCCAACCATGTTTAGTTTTCACCATGTTTAGTTTTGGGTTGGCTTCTTTCTTTTAGGTTGGCGCTTTACTAAAAAGTTCAGCAGCGTCAACTTTATCCCAGTTGTTGTATTTTCCTATAAAACCCAGCGTCATCACATGACCACATACTGACATCATTCATTGTCACCCTTGTCACCCTTGACCCTGGTTGTCCCCCATCTCCTGGGTGAATCATAATTAATATTCTCCAATGGGATACATCCATAGCCAGGAGTCATTAATCATATTCTCCAGTTAGAATTTTGAGTGGCAGAAACTTCGGTCACCTAGAAACTATCTTTGAAAACATTTATGGAATGCAAGCTGCCCACTGCTGCCCCCTTCCTCCCTTTCTGTTGGCAACTCTAAAAGGACCATAGAAATACTTTATGTGTTGACAGATGGTAGTTTTCACTTAACAACCATAGATTTGCTGAATGAACCATGGTGATTTGCTTAACAACCACTGCAATAAAAGATAAAATCAGGTTGGTCAAATGACAACGGGCTTTAGGATGGTCAGAAGCAATGGCAGTTTCCATTGCTGGCAAAAGTTGAGGACTTCCTGTACTGGATTTCTCCCTCTCTTCCTATTGTTATGGAACCTTTCCTTGTCCTCTTGGTCTGTCCTTGTCTTCCTCCTGATCCTTCTCTCCTCAGTGATTGCACATCAACAGCACGTCGTGAGCAGAAGCGAGAGCAATACCGTCAAGTCCGCGAACACGTCCGGAATGATGATGGCCGCTTACAGGCCTGCGGGTGGAGCCTGCCAGCCAAATACAAACAGGTAATGTTCTTTGGCTAAGAGACAGGAAAACATGACAATTAGGGAGATGTGTCAGCAAAGACCTTCTGGGCAGGGAATCCATCCACATGGATTCCTTTTTGTTGAGTTCCCAATCCTTTACCCTCAATACATTATAAATGATTTTAACAGCAATAGCGATAGCACTTCAGACTAATATACCACCCCACAGTACTTTACAGTACTCTCTTAACTACTTTACAATGCCAACATATTGCCCCCCCCCCCAAGAATCTGGGTCCTCCTTATACTGACCTCGTAAGGTTGGAAGAAGGCTGAGTCAACCTCGACCCGGTCAGGATCGAACTCCTGACTGTGAGCAGAGTTAGCCTGCAATATTGCATTCTAACCACTGCGCCACCACGGCTCTACGTTAACAGGCTGTATATACAGTCCATAAAATTCAATGAAAAAGAAAATCTTCATCTTGAAATAGATTGATTCAGGTTGATTTCATAAGTGCGTGCGTTTGTGGTTTTGGGGGGCTCTAAAAGCAACATTTTGTGTTCAAACACAGTAAAACTGAAGAGCACACTTTTCTGCCAAACAGCAACAACAACACTTTGATTTAAAAATCTAATGTTTTGTTCCTTATTTCCTTGTTTTAAGGAATATACAGTGCACACTTACCAATGGTTGCTCAAGATCCCATTACTTTCAGTGGAGCTTACTAGAAAGCAGATTTAAAATAGCAACATCACTTCTTTGGTCAATTTCCTTCAATTTATCCCTCTGTTAGGTGGGAATACAATTCACTTGGTTAAGCTTGTCACCTGAAGAGGACACGAATCAACATTTCCCCAAAACCTCCAGCAACTTTCTTGCCATAGAAACACACAGCTCTGTGCCATGAATGAACTGTGCTGTCTGTTCATCCCCAACAGTTGAGTCCCAACGGTGGCCAAGAAGATAATCGGATGAAAAATGTCCCTGTGCCTGTTTACTGTCGTCCCTTGGTGGAAAAGGACCCAACCATGAAGGTAATGTCAACCGTGGGCAAATTTTTCCCTTTCTTTCAGTGGGAAGATTTCCACCCTGCAGGTCACTGATGGCTGAATCACACTTTTAGAAGACTTTACATCTATCAATCAATCAGAATAAAACTGGAAGGGGCCTCTTGCTCAAGCAGGAGACTTATGCCACTTCAGACAAAGGGTTATCCAATCTCTTCTTAAAAACCTCCAGTGTTGGACCATTTGCAACTTCTGAAGGCAAGCCGTTCCACTGGTTAATTATTCTAACTGTCAGGAAATTTCTCCTTAGTTCTAAGTTGCTTCTCTCCTTGATTTGTTTCCATCCATCGCTTCTTGTCCTGCCTTCAGGTGCTCTGGAGAATAGCTTTACTCCCTCTTCTTTGTGGCAACCTCTCAAATACTGGAATACTGCTATCATGCCCCCCTATCATGTCCCCTCTTCAAGCATTCCATTGTGACACTATTCCTATCATCGTTGTGAACCACAACCTATGGACATATTGGCCCACCAATGCAGAAAAGAAAGCCTGCATTTGATCTCCCATGTTTTCTCCTTTCCGTTTACAGTTGTGGTGTGCAGCTGGTGTAAATTTGACCGGCTGGAAGCCCGGAGTGGAACCAGATGTTACAAATGGTCAAAAACCTGATCCGGGATGTGATCCACTTACCTGTGATCGAGAGGCGGAAGGAGAGAATACGAAGAGTAATCACCAATCTCCAGAAAAGAAAAAGGTTGGGCATATAGCTGACTCTGTTCATCTGTGTAGGCATTCTGGTTTTTTCATCATAATACGAACAAGCCATTTCTATAAAGATCTATCAATCTAATTGGTAAAACCCAAAGTCAAAATTTTCATTCATTTCCACATCAAGCACAACATTTTCATAAGTGGTCTCCATGTGGAAACAGAAGTATTTATGTTCTTTTCTTGAATCAAAGTACTCAGTTTTGCCATTTCAGCCAACTCCATCAACTTCTGCATTCATCCATTCGTCCATAGCAGGAATTGAAGTGTCTTTCCATTTTTGTGCATACAATAGTCTTGCAATGGTCAACGTATATAATAACAAAATTCCAAAAAAAAAAAATTTCCCAATCCTTTTTACATTAAATCCAAAAGAAAAAGTTCTGGTTTCATTTTTATCTCCATTTTCAAAAGTTCCCTAGTTCTAACTTACACAACGAAGGATGGGGGCTGTACGTTGGCCTCGGATAGAAGTCCGTCCAAAATCATGTCACAATATGATGGTCCAGCAAGTATTTAAACCTGGAAGGGTTGTTCTGATGCCATGTGCAGCTTCCCACTTTTTGCCCTTCCCCTGGCCATGCGCCCGTTACCCTTTTGCTTTCCCACAGACCAAAGAACTTCATGAGATGGATGCCACATCCAGTAGAGTCTGGATCCTCACCAGCACCTTATCTACTAGCAAAGTGGTTATCATTGATGCCAACCAACCAGGAACGGTGGTGGATCATTTCACGGTGTGCAACGCCCACGTCCTTTGCATCTCCAGCATTCCAGGCAAGTGAAGACATCAGATCTTGGACTTTAAAAAAAATATTATTTGCCACTCGTCTTGCTACAGGGCCACTCTGGGGGGCTTACAAAGGCTTGTCATTCCCTATCATGGATAGTGCTACGTTGGTCTATAAATGCTGAATTGTTTCTTTCAAAGCTGGTAATTCATTAGAAGTGGATTTAGAATAATATAGCAGTCTAGAATCAAAGATACTTTACAACATTCATAAAAAAAACTGTCCCCTACTTCCATAAAGCACAATACAGACCTGTATGGGCAAGCTTGAAATTTAATATGGAGGCTGGGACTTGGTGTCCTGTTTCTTTTGGGAAAAGAAACCTCTTAGTTCTTATGATGCTTAGAAACTTCTCAAGGGAAACTGTATTGTTAAGTCATAATTAAAAAGAAACTAGCTTTGGTAGCTAACATCTTATCCAAGCCTGAAATTTGGTTTGGCTGGCCATAGTCGGATGAGATGTTTTTCTAAAACCTGAATGTGAAATAACTTTCATTCTCACTTGTTTCCAAATATAAATCCTAATCTTTTGGAAATTGAATGGATATTTTGCTTGGAAAAATGGCGATATACAAAGCTAAGTTCACAGTATTTGCCAAACCTTAAAATACCATTGAGATTACTTTACATGGATGTGGCACGCCTTGCCTGCTGGCTGGGGAATTCTGGGAGTTGAAGTCTACTTATCTTCCGGTGGCCAAGATTACATAAGACACCAAGTTGGTTGCTTTTAACACGATCTAGTCTAAGATATCAATGATGTTGTTTCACATGGATGTTCCCTACTGACCCTGAAGCCTTCTATTTCCCATCATAAGAGCCATGGTGGTGCAGTGGTTGTTAGAATGCAGTATTGCAGGCTAATTCTGCCCATTGCCAGGAGTTCAATTCTGACCGGCTCAAGGTTGACTTCCAAGATCGGTAAAATGAGGCCCCAGATTGTTGAGGGGCATTAAGTCTGATTTTGTAAACTACTCAGAGATGGCTGTAAAAGACTGTGAAGCGGTATATAAGCCTAAGTGCTATTGCTATTTCTGCAGCTGATTGGATGTTGCATTAGGAGCCCTGGTGGCACAGTGGTTAGAATGCAGTATTGCAGGCTAACTCTGCCCACTGCCAGGAGTTCAATTCTGACCAGCTCAAAGTTGACTCAGCCTTCCGTCCTTCCGAGATGGGTAAAACTAGGACCCAGATTGTTGGGGGAGCAATAGGTTGACTCTGTCAACTGCTTAGAGAGGGCTGTCAAACATTGTGAAGCGGTATATAAGTCTAAGTGCTCGTCCTCTTGCTATCTTTGCAGCGGCCTGTGATACTGACTACCCTCCTGGAGAAATATTTCTAGAAAGGGACTTGAACCCTGAGGAATCTTCGGGAACAGATGGAGTCTTAGCAGGCATCACTTTAGTTGGCTGTGCAACTCGTTGCAATGTTCCCAACAGCAATTGCTCCTCCCGTGGAGACACCCCCGTGTTGGATAAAGGACAAAGTATGTTTCCAAATGTTTTTAAGGACAGAGGTTGTTTTTTTTTCCTATCCTCAGCTTGCTTTTACTTAATTAAGCCTGTTTACGGTTCTTTTACTAGAATGACCTTGAATTGAACTGTACAGGATTAAAAATAGATCACCCAAATAGTACAAGTTCAGTATATAGTAAAATCTTGCTGTCCAAGATCTATCATATGGATAAAATTATGAATGTGTTCTGCCTATCAAGATGAAAAAGAAAACAGAGAAAACTATACACATTACTTGAACCAATGACCCTGATTGAAGTTACCCACCCCTGAGCCTGGATCTAATCAGGATCATCTTAGTGAAGGGAAAAAAAAGGCATTGAAATATTTAGGATAAATATTGCGTTGCGGTAGATTGAGCTTTTTGGTTATCAATATTCTGATAAAAATGATTTTTATCTTTCTAATTGGCAAGTGGAATTCAGTTATGACTCTGCTTTTCTTTGCTGAAACCCTATTAAATGGCAGTTAAAACTGTCTTCCGTTTTCCATCAAATTCCCAAATTATTTTAAGAATAATACAAAATCTCCACCAGTCAATTGCAAAAGACTGCACTGCTTGGATCTGCATGCATACTACATTAATACATTGCAACATCCTCTTGGGAAGAATTTGATGTGTACATATAAAGGCCAATACCAGCTAAAGAACTGGCAGCTGTCACTTCACAGTGATGTGAGCAGATCTGCCTATCTGATTTGATAGTTGGATAGAAATGGCAAACCCAGTCTAAACATGTGGCTGGCTATGTGACCAACCATCTTGTTTAAAAAAATTATATCCTCTACAGCAGAGGTCTCCAACCTTGGCAACTTTAAGACTTCTGGACTTTAACTCTCAGAATTCCTCAGCCAGCAAAGCTGGCTGAGGAATTCTGAGAGTTAAAGTCCAGAAGTCTTAAAGTTGCCAAGGTTGGAGACCTCTGCTCTACAGGACTCCCGGCAGCTTTGAATGATTTTGCCTTTTAAAATTTATGACGTGTTTTTTGGGGTGGGGCCTGTTTTCTCTGTGGGTCCCTGGACCCACTGGTAACCACTCTTTTTGTTCATCTTTTCCTTCATCTTTAACAGGGGTCCCCAAACTTGGCAACTTTAAGACTTGTGGACTTCAACTCCCAGAATTTCTGAGCTAACATGACTGGAGGAGGAATTCTGGGAGTTGAAGTCCACAAGTCTTAAAGCTGTCAGGTTTGAAGACCCCTGCTCTAAATCTACCTGGCCAAAAGGGAATTCAGAAAGTTGTACTTCTAACATGAAGGGTAGTAAATTGAGGAAGGGAGTTGAAGTCCCAAGTCTTTTTTTTTTTTTAAAGAATTTTTATTTTAGACAAACATACACAAACAAAACATAAAACATAAAACCACCTTCCAGTTACATACATACAGTGTGTCGGTTGGTTACAAATCTTTTGTGCATCCTCTCCATAGTCCTCACTTAGAGTTTTTATAAATTCTCATATTATCAACCTAGTATATATGTATACCTTATTATCATTGTTAATCGTTTATTTGACTATAACTATTATTCCATCATTTTAGACGAGATATTCAAAATTTTAAATTAATTTATATTATAACATTCATTACATCATCCTAAATCCATCCAATAGTAGTACATCTTTATATTCTATTCTGTATAATTCTATTATCCTTGTATTGTAAAATTCTCTAGCAAAGTCCACAAGCCTTAAAGTTGCCAAGTTTGGAGACCTCTGATCTTTAATGTCACCATTCTGCCTTTAGATGAAGTGGCTGCCACGAGCAATGGTAGGATTGATCAGTCCCAGTCCACGGAAGAAGCCACCGAAGCCACGGAGGTGCCAGAGAATGGCGTGAGCGAAATGGAGCCAGCTCAGGTCCGGACTGGCCCCCTTACAGAACATGTGTTTACTGACCCAACTCCAGCTCCAGCACCTGCAAGGCAGAACAGGTAAAAGAGACCTTGCTTGTAATTGTCCCGGAAGATCCCAGGAACTCAGCAACGAATTAGCATCAGTGGAAAAGGGACAGTCAGTTGCAGAGTAGAGT